ACAATGCCCCGTTTAATTACTCACCTTTGAATTCGCATGACTCACTTATGCCTTCGAGATAATTCAATTCTGGAATGCTTACACATCAATTTAAACCTTTTAAATACCATTTCATGCAACAAGCCACTTTCCGTAATAATTTGTACCGAAAAATATAAGACCTTTCGGATAGTTTTAATAAGCATATTAGTTTATATAAAGAAATGATCATCCAACAAACTCAAATTTTAAATATCTCTTCAAATTAAAGAAAATTAGAAAAAGCAATAATTTCAATAAGTAATACATCTGTAACTGAAAAAGAACAGATGTATCAATTTACGCTGATTTCCCAATTATTTAGCATACTTACGGAAAATATCCATCTGAAATAACTAGATTAGGTAATATTTTAGCTTTTAGTCGCACAAACGTAATGCACCATTCTATACTATATATAAGTGATTTTAAAAATGTTTTAACACAGCTTAAAAATCTATATAATCCCAATGCGTTACTAAACTTAGATGTTAGGTTTTATTACGATCTAATTACCTTAGGATCATATTTTATTGATAAGAAAATCGTAATTGTCTTGAAGTTTCCTATAATGTCTCTAGAAACATATGACCTTTATAGACTCTGTCCTGTTCCTAATAAAAACTCAGAAATTATCCTTCCACCATTCCCATACATGGCATCCAATTCCCAGGAATTTGCGTACATGGAGGCTGAATGCCCGAAGATCGACACCTGGTACATATGCAAGCAGCAGTTTAACCATCAAACCCGAACACGCAGTGACTGCATCTTCAGTCTCATTTATCATCAGAATACAGGAGAGTGCCATCCTACATCCATATCACTCCTGAAGGAAGCACTACTAGAACTGGACAGTCAACATTATATTTTATCATTACCTAACAAAATCAAAGTAAAAATATCATGCGGACAAGAAAAATATCATCTGTTAAAAGGAAGCTACTTCGCAACGATTCCCCGAAATTGCAGCATTCACACACCAGAATTCACAATTGTTAATACTGATGACAAATTTCGTGGGCAACCTGTTGAAATAATAACATTCCCACATTCGACTCCGATGTCAGCAAATTCGAAGAAAAACTTTCCACATTATAATTTCACAACAATTGATTTGAACAAATTACACAATATTCAACATCAATTACTCATGGTCCCACCTGTTAGAATTAACACCGTGGATTTATCCAGCTTATATCACACCACGATAGCTACATACGTCATCATACTGTTAAGTGCACTTGCACTCATTAGTGTGGCTTACTACTGAGACGGCGTAAGAACCAACAGCGAGTTAAATCTACACAGCCTCAAGAGATGGAAATGGCATCAGCGGGTTCTACACCATCCACCGAAGAAAGAAAAGCCGCAACATTTGCTTTCAATCTTCGCAAATAGTTGCTCATCTAGGAGGGAAGGTGTTACGAGTACAAGACTCGTCTACGTCACTCATACGTCACGCGTACATTATGTGTTTCCCAAGTGCAGGACTGCAGGTGGCTCGATTGAGCAATCGTGTTGAAAAGTGCTTATTAGACAGATTTAGTTAATGTAAAACCTTCGGACAGTTTTGGGAGTTGCTTGAGCTTCAATCGTGGAAGCATCTTGACGTATAGTTTGTAAGACCGGATCATCGGGATCAATTAGTATAAGTAAATTTGTATAACATTTAAATAAATAAAGTAATAATTTAAAGTTTAGTTTTTAAAAACCCTACCTGACGGCTCAATTCCGTAATTCACTCGTTACATGATAATACCTTATCGTTTTGGTGTCTACATTCGTTTTATAAAATAATCAGAAAATATTTTTCTTGAAAATTGAGAAATGAAACTAACGATTTGCAGCGTTGACTTCTTTTAATTATCTGATTGATTACACTTACGTATGTGTAGTGTAACTCATGTGCCATAGGCACGTGAGTGAGTGCATTCGTGCGATAGAGCTGTACTTAAATAAGAAAAAAATAGAAAACAATGTAAGTTACATTTAAATTGCAAAATACCCAAGAACACGGTCAATGATTGATATAACGATATCCTATCTTGATAGTTGTTTGATAATAATCCAGTGATATCACTCCAAAGTTCATTGAAACTAATTACTGACCGTTTAATGTGACAGAGAGAATGTGCGCGAGAATAAACAAATTGAATTCAACGATGTTGTTTATAAAACAATAAATAATATTTTATCGCTGCAATCGCTTAATGAAATGCAATCTCATGTTATTAAAGCAAAAGTAGGCAACTGAGTTCATCGCTTGTGTGATAAGTGTGTAGTTTCGCGTAGCCCCATTTGTGGCATGTTAGCGGTCAACCGGCAGTTGTAATGCACCAATACGATACAGTGGGTAATGCTGAGCCATTGTTACATAATGTTAGTTGGAGCCGCGACTGTATTGATCTGAGAGTGTGGCACAGCGCCAATAACAAACTCGTGCCGCACTCTAGAAGTCGCCTGAAGAAGTATCTGTAACAAAACCTTTTTTAAAAACTATTATAGCAAAACTTCACGTCTTCCGTCGTATATCTAATATATAAAATTCTCGTGTCGCGGTGTTTGTAGTTAAACTCCTCCGAAACGGCTTTCCCGATTCTCATGAAATTTTGTGTGCATATTGGGTAGGTCTGAGAATCGGACAACAACTATTTTTCATCCCCCTAAATGTTAAGGGTACACACCTAATTTTTTTTTTCAATTTTAGATATTTTTTTTTATTTTTTTATGATACATCATACAAAAATACATACAACCCTAAATTTTCACCCTTCTACCACCAACCCCTATTTTTTTATGGCGGTACGAAGTTCGCTGGGTCAGCTAGTATATCTTTATATATATAATTCTTCTGTGAGTGTGTATGTCACTGAACTTCTCTTAAACGACTGGACCGATTTTGATGAAATTTTTTGTGTGTGTTCAAGGGGATCTGAAAATGGTTTAGATTCACAATTTTGTCCGCTGGACAACCCCTATTTTTTTTAGGGCGGTACGAAGTTCGCTGGGTCAGCTAGTATATATATAAAACTCAAAGGTGACTGACTGACATAGTGATCTATCAATGCACAGCCCAAACCACTGGACGGATCGGGCTGAAATTTGGCATGCAGGTAGATGTTATGACGTAGGCATCCGCTAAGAAAGGATTTTGATCAATTCTACCCCCAAGGGGATAAAATACGGAATGAAACTTTGTCAATTTTAAACCGATCGGGCTGCCGCTACTTTGCATGCAGGTATAAGAAGAATCATAGATGAATGTCATTGTGTATAATACAAGCCTGAGAACAAAAACTGTAGTCTACACTTCAGTTCTACACCGAAGCGAAGCGAGGGCGGGCCGCTAGTTTTATATAAAGCGCAGTCAATCACTCCGCTTGATGTTAAATGTAAGCGGAGTCGTAAAGATAACTGATGCGACAGAAACGTGTGCCCACCCCAGTTAACCTAACCTTGCTGGCCTGAACCCAATCCCCTAACCTATGGAGCCCCGGAACCTTTCTCACAACACACACACAAATTTCTCAATAAAAAGTTATGTTCTGTCAGCGTGTTTTTGTGAAGGTACCAACCGGACGGGCGCTCCAATTCGACCGTTAAATACGCTGAGATCTACCTTTCCTGACCATTATGTGTAATTTCCTAGACAGGCAGGCAATTTTACCCCAACTCCCTAAACTCCTAACACTTGATTTTTTATTTATGAAACTCCATGACGTCGATCATACCTTATGTCATCAAAGGACAATGTTAAAATTAGCCTAAGAACCAACACCAATTTGGCATTTATGATAATTCTTAGTATTTAGATTGTGACAGACACTTCCAGTTAAGTAAGCTAAATTAAAAAGTTAAAAAATAATCTGAGACAATAAATACCATTTTATGTGTATAATCTATGGCAGCGCTGCAAACAAAACACTTTTCCTAATGCCGGCACTTCACTTGGCTATTCGTATTTGCTATTTTAAAACATGACATCAGTCTGTCCTTTTCATTCCTTATTAAGCATGACAAGGGCAAACTGTTGTCAAGTGAAGGGCCGGTATAAAACTTGTTACTCTGTGGTTGTGGTGCATGCAGTTTCATAGTAATCTGTGGCATTCGTGAATTCCAAGGAGTAGTTTAATATACCGGAAAGTGCATTCTCGTTTCGGATTACCTGTTGTGTGTGTTTATTTGCGATTGTTTTTCCTTTAATTTAACTATTTCGGCTATCTAATATGCCGTCGATGTTACCAAAGAGAGGAGCCCTTATTACCAAGTGCTATTGAACCTGTGCCACAATATCCTGAGAGGATCATACTGCCAAATTATTCAAGAACACCTAATACACATTCACGCTGCATATTTACACAATATACATGTGATATACAAATAAATACAATAAACAATATGATACAATTATGTGAAAAATAGTCAATAAATAAGAAGCAAACTACAGTTTTTATTTTATTCATGATTCCTACCTAACCAAGTTTTTCCTAATAGTTATTCTTTAAAATCGCACCGAATAAAATGAATTAGTAATATTAATTCACTTCATACTGAGTTCATACTAAATTCATAGGTTGACCTATGTTTCATTGAATATTTAACATAACCTCAAAAAAAAATAGTTTTCCTAATAATTTAAGTTCTCAGAAGTGTCCGTCAATAATCTTTGTTTTTACAGTCATTTACTTACGATTTTGAACCTAGAAAATAATATTTCATGATTGTTGGTTCTTAGGCTAACTATGTATGGACGCTGAACAATGCCCTTTAAACTTTTTTTGTGTCTTAAGTGTGAAAAAGACATGTCTTCATAATATTAAAATTTATTCACATTCTAGTGAAATGGTGTTTATTAAAAACCATCTTAAAGGCTAATTCGTTACTTTCACTTGTCACGTCACTTCATTAATATCTCCTTCTTTAATTTATTGTTTCTAAAATAAAAAGATAATTAAAAGATATTGTTTTCTTCTTTCCAGATCTAAAGGACACAAGCAATAAGAAGGCTCAATCATGGCTTTCGCTGGACTCAAGAAACAGATCAACAAAGCTAATCAGGTGAAGACGGCTTCTCATTAAAAATGTTTCTTAAGAGTTTCGTTATTATAAGTCTAGCGGAGCGCAACGGTTCCAGATTAAAAACTTTTAAAAGATAGACCCTGGAATATTACCACGTTCCCTCCGACGACGACGCTGAATATCAGAAAAGTTTATTCTTCAGAGTAAGCCTTCATAACCGTCCGTTATCGACATCATAAATCGAAATTGATTAACTTAAAGTTGGAGGATTTACAATATCTAAACCTTAAAAATAACAGTATTAAATTGAACATCAAGCAATAGGCTGCAGGAAGAGTTTTCATTCAACGTTATTTCTTAATAATCGTGGCAAGGCCTAACCATATTAAATTGACCCAACGTGTTTTGTTTTTCTTAAAGCTTGATTAGAAACGTAATCACACATTGGTAAAGCGAGTCACATAGACACCTACACAGTGCCTGGAAACGTATTCAATATCAGTCTGCTTATATTTAGATTCTATTAATACTCGTAAATGAGAGAGATGATTGCTGAGGCTTAAAAGCACTTAATCTTAATCAAAACATTGGACGTTCTCATCGCAAGACATTTTCACGCTTAACCTTGGCAAAACCCTCTCGTTCGCGGATGTGCCGGTAGTTCCTGTAAGCTGCGTCACTTGAATGATATATTTTTCAATTAGTGGAATGGACATTGCGAGTCCATTAAAGTTGATAGGCTCAGCGTCTGCGTTCTCTGTGCTGGGCTTATGGTAGTATTATTGACTGTTATAAACGTTTGCACAGCCTCCGCACGCTAGGTACGTTTTATTTCCTCCCAGTAATATTCCCTTTCCTTTCAATGAATAGAATATAAGAATTTCTGTTAGGGCAGATCGTTTTCTGATTTTATCTTCTACCATATTACTTTCTCCAGTTACTTGACTTTATATTGTGTTTGGTTGGTTTAGAATGTGAATTATCAATTCAAAATAATTAAAACAAACTGTTCTATTGTGTTTGTAAATATAAAACAGTTATGCGAGGGAAGTCCGAAAGTTCGCGCAATGGAAGAGGGCTGAAATCAAATATGAAATTATTTTTCCTTTTTAATATATTTCCCTTAAGACTGATACAATTTTCAGATAATTTAAATAACATAATTTATACCATCGAAAAATAGAATGTTTTGGTAAGTCCCTCAAAATAAGCAGAAATTGAGGTTCTTCATTTTCGGTAAAATTTTTCATCGAAGCTCTTTCGTCAGTTTTGGCAACAAATTATAATCAGAAGGAGTTAAATCTAGACTATATGGGTGGTTAAATGTTTTGAAGCCATTTTTTTTAGGGCAGCTATGGCAATATGAGTCTTGTCGACGGGTGCATTGTCGTGCAAACGGAGCACACCCCGAGTCCGCTTTCCCCGTCCTCTTTATAGAATTACGTATTTTATTTTTTATAGCAGTGTAGCGTAGTATTCTCTATTCTCCCATTATATTTTCTTTATAATCAACCAATAAAATTCGTTCTGAATCCCAAAAAAATCTTTCTAGCCGATTGTGTCACCTCAAACTTCTTAGGTGGTGCTGCACCTTTTTGACGTAACTGCATGGAGTCTTTTTTGGACTCAGGTACATAGTGATAAACCCAAGTATCATCTTCAGTAACAACCCGATTCATAAATTCATATCAGCTCTTGCTACACAGCTTCAGAAACTCACGGAAACACTCGCAGCGTTGTTGCTTTTGAAGCGGTATGAGAATAGGGTATTTTCCAAAATTTTGAAAACTGATTATATTTAAAGATTGGGGCAAACGATTTAACAGAAAAATAAAAATAAAATAATTAATGTCTTTTTTCTCCATTAAACCAATTAAAGTTGAATTTATTTTTAATGGTTTTAAATTTACCGCCAAAACGGTTCGATGATGTCTACTATGTGACGTCAACTTTGTGTAAAGAATTTTAACACCTATGTAGCCTGAGGACGATCTGTGATTATGGAATAATTATTTGACGATTTCTTTTCTTTTAAAATATTTTGTGTAAGTATTTATACTATAAATTTATCCCGAACGTAAAAAAAGTTAATATTTTAACTTCAGTTGATTACATAGCATACACAAAGTAGACGTCATCAAACCGAGCATTTTGGCGGTAAATTCAAAACCATTAAAAATAAATTCAACTTTAATTGGTTTTATGGAGAAAAAAGATATTAATTAATTTATATTTATTTGTCTGTTAAACTGTTTGTCCCAACCTTTAAATATAAGCAGTTTTAAAAAATTTGGAAAATACCTTATCTCGGCACCCATCTTGCACCGACCTTCAACACGCCAATATGGTTATGAAGAATGTTCAAAACTATTGTAAATAATAACCCAATCATTTTGTACCATTAATTTATTTTTTAAACGCGTATCTTCAATACCAAGTTTTGTTTTTGTCTGATCGCTGGTCATCTTAAATAGATCCTCTGCTCTTCTTAAATAAGCTATGCCACTTATAAATCATCGTATTACCAGGCTAAGAGTCTCCGTAAACAGATGACGTCTCTTCCACAATTATCTGCAGTGTATTTCCTGGCTCGGTGAGGAACTTTATCATCGTATTTACTTGATTCTGTCTTCCCAATTGGCTTGTTAATTCAATGATATCTCAAAAGTTATTGACCCGATTGGACCGAAACTGGGTATTTTATAAGAGTATTTAGACGACAAGTACTAATAGGTAAAAACCCGCCATCCCTCTCCATCCCCTCCATTCTGCGAACTTTTGGAGCTCCCCTCGTACATGTAAAATATTGTATTGTATTTTATAACAATTTTAAATACTAACTAAAAGTGTTATAAAATACATTTCTATTATTACTATCTATTTAAATATATTATCTAACTATATTATAAAACTATATTATAATTTGGATGAAACCAAAATAATTCAGCATAACTATTTAAATGTTTAAACTAAGTGCATTTACATCCAGCTCGTAAAATTAAATACATAAAGAACATTCACTCAATGATACGAGTAGAATCGCCATTATGTTAGTATAATTATTTCTATTCTATTCATTAATCCATACATTTAGACTCAGATTACAGATAGGTAATCTGAATATATACAAGTTTTAGTATTTGGAATGGATTCCCCAAATGACTTTGACCAGAAAGAACTCCAGAGTGTTTAATTATACTTTAAACGGGAAAAACAAACGGCCTGCGGAATGTTATCCCTATCCTATACCCGAATCGGGTGGTGGGCAATCTCCGAACCCCGCTCAGACGCCAGTGAAATGTACTCCCCCAGTTTTGATAAGTATTCATTTGCTGTTAAATAAAATCTACCAAAACACGAGTTCCCTTTGAGCAATGTTTTACTTTCAATTTCAAATGCTTTCCTCGGTGGCTTCGTATTTAAGATAAGTAAGTAATCGTGTTATTCATAAATACGAATCGAGAAGATATATTTCTGAAAGTGCGTTGATAATGGATTCTTATAGGGTTTCGTACCAAACTGTGACTACAGACTCCTTTTAAAGCCTTGCCTTTGTGTATTCCGTTAAAGCAAATCGTCAATATGTTATAAGCGAAGCGTTTAATTCCGCTTCGTTTAAATATCTATTACAAATTAGCTATTTAAAGTCCAAGAAAGTTGTTAAAATCGTAGACATCCGTGTTTCAACGCTAAATTAAATTTTGAATGAAAGGAAAAAAGTTATTAAACTATTTCACAAAGTTCTGAATATGAATGAAACCATTTTGTGGCCATTAATTTTTTTTATTTAATGCAAATAAAGGACATCGACGAAATCGGCCCTAGTATGCCCAAAAGAATGTCCTTCACTATTATCTTTCTATTATTTTTTTAACATATTAGCAATTAATCATAGTAAACGGACAATCTGTTTAAAAAAATAAAAAAATAATGTTCTGTTACTAGATACTACAGTCTATTCATCCAACTTGGCACTCCTTTTTATTGAAAAAACACCATTAAAAATCAACTGATAACTGGATTCAAAAGGTTTCAGTCTATAATAACGATTTATTTTAATAGTTTATTGGCTTCGTTAATATTTTATTATTAAATGGGTGATTCTGTTAAAAAGTTGTGCCAAGATTGTTTACCTTAATAAATGCATTAGAGGCGACCATACGTATTTATCAAAAGAAGAATAGAGATAACTTAGTTAATAATACTTATTACTAGTATTATATTTATAAAAAGATTATTTCTGAAATTATGTAAAGATAGTTTATACTCCCACCCCATGTAATATCTGTTTATTTTTATTAAAATCATAATGATAACCAGGTCTAATTACCGATAGTAAAATATAGAAACAGGTAAATGGAAAGACTGAACATTTCATTTGAAAAGAAATCTATTATTACTACAGGTAAGGTATAGGTATCGTAGGTGCCAACTGACAACACTCATTAATCAATATGAATATAAGCATTTATTATTTTTATTATTAATTGCATTTTATGTTCATTTAATGCATATTATTTAAGTGCTTACATAGAGGTAAACACTAAATCTATTCAGAATATATAAAGTGTACATCTTTTACGATTAAGTATAATAATTATAACCTCAAAATCAAATACATTATGTAGTAGGCCACGGTTCCTCAAGTTGTCCGTATCTCAACAAATGCCTAATTAGAGTTTATGAATGATTCCGAACACAACTAGCATTTTCTCATTGCTGGGCGTTCTAGGGCATTCAATGTATGGGGAACGAGCAATGTCCTTTGGCGTCAGGTTTTAAAAGTTATTGTTTTCGGTTTATTATACTGCTAGCTAAACCTGTTACTGATTTTCAGCCAACGTTTTGAGCCTTATATCTTCGTTTCTTACTATATATAAAGCTAAGTCATAATAATAATTCCTTCATGTTGGTTACATTGAGTTGCTAATTTCAAACAAACACGCAAGCAAGCATTACGCCTGCAAGGACATTGAAAATTCTATTAAAATTAAAATATTTAAAAAATAACAGTTTATTTTAATATATGTATAAACAAC